ACACGCTCACGCACGCTTGCTGGAAGTCCAAGCCCCTCGCCCACAAAACCTCCTTTACCCCCTCTCTCCAACCCTTTCGATTACGACCACTACCCCGCCTTCCTTCCCCTATAGATTTATATGCTTTCCATGTCATTCTACTTTGATCCATTCTCTCTAAATGACCAAACCACCTCAACAACCCCTCTTCTGCCCTCTGACTAATACTTTTATTAACTCCACACCTTTTCCTAATTTCCACACTCCGAATTTTCTGCATAATATTTACACCACACATTGCCCTTAAACAGGACATCTCCACTGGCTCCAACCGTCTCCTCGCTGCTGCATTTACCACCCAAGCTTCACACCCATATGAGAGTGTTGGTACTACTATACTTTCATACATTCCCTTCTTTGCCTCCATAGATAAAGTTTTTTTTACTCCACATATACCTCAACGCACCACTCACCTTTTTTCCCTCATCAATTCCAATTTTTTTTTTTTTTGTGAATATTTTTGTCTGGAACAGATTAATTGTATTTCCATTAATTTTTATGGTAAACATTATTTCAGTGTTCTGCCATTTTGGTCTTAGGCCTACCTTCTAGAATAGATTATGGCCGATAACTGAGGTCCACTGTACTGAATTGTTCGAGTAGCTGTTCGAGTACAGAGGTTCCACTGTGCAGTGGACCCTCGGTATTCGATATTAATCCATTCCTGAGAGCTCATCGAATACCGAAAATATCGAAAACCGAATCAATTTTCCTCATGAGAAATAATGGAAATCAAATTAATCTGTGCAAGACACCAAAAGTATGAAAAAAAAATTTTACTTCATGAAATATTAAGTTTAATGCAATAGAATAATTACAATAACAATAAAATAATTGACACTTACCTTTAATGAAGATCTGGTGATGATTGATGGGATGGGAGGAGGGGAGAGGTGTTAGTGTTTAGAAGGGGAATCCCCTTCCATTAGGACTTGAGGTAGCAAAGTATTTTTCTGGGGTTACTTCCCTTCTTCTTTTAATGCCACTAGGACCAGCTTCAGAGTCACTGGATTTCTGTCGCACAACATATCTGTCCATAGTGGCCTGTACCTCCCGTTCCTTTATGACATTCCTAAAGTGTTTCACAACATTGTCAGTGTAATAGTCACCAGCACGGCTTGCAATAGCTGTGTTAGGGTGATTGTCATCAAAAAAGGTTTGCATTTTAAGCCACATTGCACACATTTCCTTAATCTTTGAAGTAGGCAACTTCTTCAATTTCTCTATCCCCTCCTCCGAAGCAGTTTCCTCAAGTGTGGCCTCTTGCTGTTGAAGATGATCTATCAGCTCATCAGTGGTTAGTTCTTCATTGTCCTCCTCCACCAACTCTTCCACATCCTCCCCACTAACCTCCAACCCCAAGGACTTCCCCAATGCCACAATTGATTCCTCAACTGGCATAGGATTCTCAGGGTTAGCCTCAAATCCTTCAAAATCCCTTTTGTCTACACATTCTGGCCACAGTTTTTCCAAGCAGAGTTCAAGGTCCTCATAGTCACTCCCTCCCAAGCCTTACCTATAAGGTTTATACAATTGAGGATATTAAAGTGCTCTCTCCAAAACTCTTTTAGAGTCAGTCGAGTTTCTGTGGTCACTATAAAGCACTTTTGAAACATAGCTTTTGTGTACAGTTTCTTGAAGTTGGAAATGACCTGCTGGTCCATGGGCTGCAGGAGAGGAGTGGTATTAGGAGGCAAAAACTTGACATTAATGAAGCTCATGTCCCCACAAAGTCGCTCTGCCAAGTCTGTAGGATGACCAGGGGCATTGTCTAACACCAGGAGGCACTTAAAGTCTAATTTCTTTTCAATTAGGTAATTTTTCACATTGGGGCAAATGCTTGGTGTAACCAGTCATAGAAAAAGTCCCTAGTGACCCATGCCTTACTGTTTGCCCTCCACAGCACACACAAATTAGCCTTGAGGACATTGTTTTTCCTGAACACTCTGGGAGTTTCAGAGTGATACACTAATAAAGGCTTCACTTTGCAATCACCACTAGCATTGGCACACATTAACAGAGTAAACCTGTCTTTCATAGGCTTATGTCCTGGGAGTGCCTTTTCCTCCTGAGTAATGTAGGTCCTGCTTGGCATTTTCTTCCAAAACAGGCCTGTTTCGTCGCAATTAAACACTTGTTTAGGTTTCAAGTCTTCACTGTCTATGTAATCCTTGAATTCCTTCACATATTTTTCAGCTACTTTTTGGTCTGAACTGGCAGCCTCACCATGCCTTACCACACTGTGTATGCCACTATGATTCTTAAATCTTTCAAACCAACCTTTGCTGGCCTTAAATTCACTCACATCAGCACTAGTTGCAGGTAATTTCTTTACCAAATCGTCATGCAACTGCCTTGCCTTTTCACAAATGATCGCTTGAGAGATGCTATCTCCTGCTATCTGTTTTTCATTTATCCACACCAATAACAGTCTCTCAACATTTTCTAACACTTTCTGTCGCTGTTTCGTAATCACAGTTGCACCTTTTGCAAGAACAGCTTCCTTGATTGCCGTTTTCCTGGTCACTGTAGTAGAGATGGTTGATTGGGGTTTATTATACAACCTGACCAGCTCCGACACACGCACTCCACTTTCGTACTTTGCAATTAGCTCTTTCTTCATTTCAATAGTCATTAGCACCTTTTTTCTGGAAGGGTTGGCACTAGAAGCTTTCTTGGGGCCCATGGTGACTTATTTTGCAGAAAGAAGCACCAAAAACAGTGATAATATGGATAATATGGAATGTACCGAATGTATCCTTAGATGCGCGTACACTGGCTGGCTTGTAAACACTGGCACACACGGGGCAGTTCAGGCCACACGTGGACACGTCTCGGTATCTGATCAAATACCGAGGCAAAATTTTTGCAATATAATGCATCGAATACCGGATTTATCGAATACCGATGCCATTGAATACCGGGGGTCCACTGTATTATTATCTGTTCTTATTTTTGGCACTTCAGTCAATCAATCAAGTTTATTCTCTATAAAGATTACAATGCGGGGTTTACATATTATAGGATATTGGTTACAGTGTGTGGTTTACATATAAAATACACCTACCATCCAACTTACGACTTGCGACCACTCGACTTACGACCATGTTTTGTATGCAGATGTTCTGGGAAATAACCAACTGTTTGTGCTGTACACAATGTTTCAATAGTAAGATTTGACTTATGTTCATTTTGACTTACAACCAGTTAGTCAGAACCAAGCCCAGTCATAAGTCGGATGGTAGGTGTACGAATTACAGATAGGGCCACTATCACGCCTAGCATGACTAGGCATTTCGGGCAGACTAAGATTAATTTCAAACTCTGTATTGGTACAGATTATGGGGCATGTTGATATTAAGGCTAGTCAACTGCATTACAGTTTATAAATTTAGCAATGTGAATGGTTTTGTCTTGGTACAATACGTAGTTTCTGTTAAAGCTCCTATATTGGAGTATCTCAGGCAAACTTATGACTAGTTTAAGATTCATTAGTTAATAGTTTTATTACATATTTCTATGTTTATAGTCAATTGGGCGAGTGTAAGTGTGAATTGTGGGGGAATTGCAGATATCGAGAGTAGGTCTAGGTTGTTTTTTATGTGCGCATGATACAAGAGAATAGGTGGTTTTCGTGTAGTTAGCTGACGGTGGCGTGTGTCAGGGAGATAAGATGTTTTCTAATGGTATTTGAAAGTGATGGTTGTGTCTGCAGTTCTAGAGTTTTCAGGTAGGGTGTTCCAGATTTTAGGTCTTTTTATGTACATTTAATTTTTGTATAGGTTTAGCCGGACACGGGTAACATCATATTTTTATGCCTGGTGTTATGCAAGTTTAGATCTTTGAAGAGTGGGGGGGGAAGGGGTGTTGCCTGGGATTGGATTGTATGATTATTCTTACTGCAGCTTTTTGTTGGGTTATTATTGGCTTTAGATGTGTTGCTGCTGTTGATCCACAGGCACAAATAGCATAGGTAAGGTAGGGATAGATGAGTGAATAGTATATTGTGAGTAGGGCTGATTGTGGCACGTCGTAACGTATCTTGGAGAGGATCCCAACCATTTTGGATACTTTTTTTGTTGTGTGTTGGATATGGGTGCTGAAATTCAGGTTGCTGTCGAAGTGTAGGCCTAGGAATTTGCCCTCATTATGTTTGGCAATAAGAGTGTTGTTGATCTTAATGTTAAGTTGTGCAACACCTGCTCTGTTACCAAACATATTATAGAAGGTTTTGTCAGTGTTAAGTGTAAGTTTATTGGCTGTCACCCAAGTAGATATTTTTAGAGGGCTCATCGTTAACAGTGGTGTTGAGTGTGGCAAGATTTGGGTGGGAGATGACATAACTCATGTCGTCAGCAAAGAGAATGGGTTTCAGGTGTTGTGATACGTTGGGAAGATCATTGATGTATAAGAGGAAGAGCAGGGGACCAAGGACACTTCCCTGTGGCACTCCAGTACCAATTGGCCATGTTGATGAGGTTGTCTTTAATGGTGACGTACTGACACCTATTAGTAAGGTAGGATTTGAAATATGCGAGTGCATGGCCTCTTATATCATAATGCTTAAGTTTGTGGAGTAGGATGCTGTGGTCTACTGTGTCAAAAGCTTTTCTTAGGCCAATAAAAAGTCCTAATGGATATTTGCCACCATTTTTGTTTGTACATGGTTCCTCAAAAAGCCCTCCTTAATATTTTTGATCTTGCTGGATAAGTACCGTGTTGTTTTATATGCCATTTACTGAGGTTACTGGGTATTTGTTAAGGACTCTAGTATCATGAGTCACTGTGAACCAGTGATACAGTATCATGAGTCACTGTTAACCAGTTATACAATATCATGAGTCACTGTTAACCTGTGATACAGTATGTTTGCTGTGTTAAAAGGTTCATGAGGATTTATTGTTTCAAATGTAGTTTATAATGGTAAATATCTTACTCTGTAATATTTTTTGTTTTTGCAGCTTGCCTATGTTTACAGTATTAAGAAGATTTTCTATTCTATTTACGATGATTGGCGAAAAAATATTGTTAGGGTAAGTTTGTATGTTTACTGTCTCAGTAAATCAAGCACTGTATTTGAATTATATCTAACAGCTAACAAAGAATCATAAATCTATAATAGTATGTGCATCAGATATAGTGTGGCAGAGTGTTCTGCATTCCTGTGTTTGTAGATGTTTCAATATAAGTTTCATATTTTTTTCAGAGTAAATCCTCCACTGACTATACAGATGACAGTTTATACAATGATCTTGGGATCAATAATTGCAGCACTGTGAGTACTTTCCTTGTAATCTGTTACTGTTACTAATAACTGAAATAATTATAAAACTTATATTTGTTGCATTTTATCCATTGCATTGCATGTAGTAACAGGAATAGTTAAATGAATCTTTATTCTAATATTTTTTCAAAATACTGTACTGTAAATCATTTATACTTGAAAAAAAATTTAGTTAAATTTCTCACACGTGTGATAGCAATGAAATTGTTTTAGGATTTAAAACTAAAGTGGTGAGGCTACCCAGCATATTACTGTCAGTTCTACTAAGAGCTAGTTTGACATGTTTGGAAAGTGCAACAATATGCATAACCTGACATTAAGTGACTCAGCTGTGAGCGCTGATACTGAGGCTGCTGCCTTTTATCATGATGTGTTGATGAAAATCAAATATATAAGATGGTGGCTGCAGATTTCAGCAAGTATTTAATGGTGACAAGACTTAGTTTGCTGGAAGCAGATGAAATCAAGAACCTAATATCAAGAGGTAAGAAAAAGACTCCAGGATTCAAACCAGTCAGGGAGGTGAGGTAGTGAAGGTTTCAAGCAACTTTGAAAACCTGAGCACAAAAATGAACAAGGCAGATGAGCTTCAGGTCCCTTAGCGTGCCAACTCAAAAGCACATGTAACATCAAGTATTTTTATAAATTTACTTAGGTCCCATTGTTGAAAAATAACATTCTTGCAATACCCTTTCCCACAGGGCATTGCCACAGATTGATAGTGCACCAATGTACAGTGGAACCTCTACTTATGAGAGCCCCACCATGCGAGTTTTTCAGGATACGAGCCGTCGCTCAGTCGATTTTTTGCTCCAGGATATGAGCCAAAATTCAGGTTGTGAGCTTCCCCCTCAAGGGAGGGTCCTTGATGCTGGTGAGGGGCTCTTGATCTAGGGAATTGGATCTGTGCTCCAGTTCCCTAAATTAACCCTTAAACGGTCCAAACGTATATATACGTTCACGTGCGTAGCGCCCCAAATATTTTGAGAAAAAAAAAATTATTCTTTTATAAGAAAAAAGAGCATTTGGTACTCAGACGTCCCCAATTTTTTTCATATGGCTCACACTGAGTGTGCACACCCATTCTCTCATGTCTAGGCAACTCAGGCCTATCGTGCCAATGTTGAATGAATGACAAAGGAAACGTATATATACATTTGGGGCGCTATGCGAGAGAACGTATATATACGTTTGGACCGTTTAAGGGTTAATAATAACAATAATATAATAAGTGAGTTTCAGAACATCGTCACTAGGTGGCACAGACAATGCCACAACATCAACTGAGCTGTGCAATGTGTTTATGTCACCGTGGAAGCATTTCTCATGTTATTACCAAATTTATTTTTTCTAACCATGGGTCCTAAGAAAGTAAATGCAAAGGACAGTGCTGAGAAGAAAAAGAGGATGATGTCCATGGAATTACAGCATGAAATCATAGATGAACAAGCGAGGTGTGCAGTGGTGGTAGGAGCTAGTAGCAAGTAGCCTATCTTCCACTCTCCACTTCCACCTCCACGTACACTTTATAAAACCACTTTATTTCTTTACATTTGCTATTATGTTTTTATACAATATTTCCTATTTATGAAACTTATTTATGAAACTAGTGTAGTTAGCCTCACAAACACTCTGTTTTCTCTTATAATACAAGCACGGGAAGATATAGTCAGCGGGAGAGGGAATGGACGCCGCCACCACCACTCGCCATATTATGACCTATTTTATTCATTGTAGAGTATATTTCATGTTTCTGTGTTAATTGTATTGTTTATTATGTCATATTAGATGAATTGAGATAGATAAATAAACCATAGAATTGATATTAGCATCATATTGAAGTAGTATTTTTGTCCTGCCTCCTGAGAGCAAGAATTCTGCTGGAATGGATTAATGGCATTTCAGTCAATTTAAATGAGGACAATTGACTCAGCATATGAGCAGATTGGGTTATGAGCTAAGTCACGGAATAGATTAAACTCATAAGCAGAGGTTCCACTGTATTCCATTAAACTGAATAATATTTCCGAACATATCATACATGTCTTCCATGATCACCACACTCTTGTTTCAGTAAGTGGATTGATGAGTTATTTTCATTTAAGTCATTTTAACCCTTAAACTGTCCAAACGTAGATCTATGTTTACGTACATAGTGCTCCGACCTTGATTTTTCACCATTTGAAAGCATTAAAAAAATTTAGATCTATGTTCGGAGCGCTGTGCGAGCGAGCGTAGATCTACGTTTGGACAGTATAAGGTTAATATAATATTTCTCCAAACACATCAAAAACACACAAAGAATGGAAAGGCTAACAGTCAAGTACTGTAGCGCTATAGAAGTTTGGCCAGTTCCTAAGGTTGAGGATTTTGATTCATAATCGGTGTGCCAGTACTGTCCACTATAACCATTAGGAATATTTTTTAATATCATTGTTTCTTTTTCAGAAATGATCTTTCCTTTGATGCTGTGGGATACTTCTTCGTCCTAACTAATGACATATTCACGGCGGGTAATGGTGTATACGTGAAGAAGAAACTGGAGAGCAAGGAGCTCGGGAAATATGGCCTTCTCTATTACAACTCATTTTTCATGCTCCCTTTTGCTGCAGTATTCTGTTGGTTTAATGGAGATTTGGATAAGGTACACAATTAAAAATTATACTTGTAATCTTTATCATGAAATTATGTCGTACATGCTTGTAATTGTTGTTAGCAAAACATCCACATTTCTTTTGGAATATCTGTATTGGGAAATAAAGGTTATTTGGAGAGTTTTCTCTCTCCAGTAAGAAATATATACAGTGGACCCTCGCCTAACGAACGAATCACATAACGTTAAATCCGCCTAACGAAGTGTTTGAGTGTAAAAATTTTGCCCCATCTAACGATAAAAAACTCGCCCAACGTGATTTGTCTGGGAACTGTCCACGCTGCCCCATGGGTGCCAGTGTTTACAAGCCAGCCAGTGCAGTCACATCTATGGATACATTCGGTACATTTCACATTATCCCAGTGTTTTTAGTGCTTGTAACTGCAAAATAAGTTACCATGGATCCCAAGAAAGCTTCTAGTGCCAGCTCTGTGGTAAAAAGGGTGAGAATTAGTATGGAATTGAAAAAAAAGATTAAGAAAATGTGTACAAAGTGGGTCGAACTGCAAACCTTTATGGATGAAAATCACCCTAACACAGCTATTGCATGTCGTGGTCGTGACCATTACAGTGACAATGTTGTGGCCCATTTTAGGCAAATCTTACAGGAACATGAGGTACACGAGGTGGCCTGGTGGTTAACGCTCTCGCTTCACACGGCGAGGGCCTGGGTTCAATTCCCAGCCAGAGTAGAAACATTGGACGTGTTTCTTTCAACCTGTTGTCTATGTTCCCCATCAGTAAAATGGGTACCTGGGTGTTAGTCGACTGGTGTGGGTCGCATCCTGGGACACTGACCTAAGGAGGCCTGGTCACAGACCGGGCCGCGGGGGCGTTGACCCCCGGAACTCTCTCCAGGTAAACTCCAGGTAAACAGAACTCTATGGACAGATTTGTTATGCGACAGAAGTCCAATGACTCAAGCTGGTCCTAATGGCATTAAAAGAAGAAGGGAAGTAACCCCGAAAAAGGACTTCCTACCTCAAGCCCTCATGGAAGAGGATTCCCCTTCCAAACAATAACAACTTCCACCATCTCCCCTCCTCCCATCCCATCAATCACCACCAGATCCTCAATAAAGGTAAGTGTCATGTTTTCTGTTCTTAGTATTACCTGGAGTTTACCTGGAGAGAGTTCCGGGGGTCAACGCCCCCACGGCCCGGTCTGTGACCAGGCCTCCTGGTGGATCAGAGCCTGATCAACCAGGCTGTACTGCTGGCTGCACGCAATCCAACGTACGAGCCACAGCCCGGCTGGTCAGGTACCGACTTTAGTTGCTTGTCCAGTGGCTGCTTGAAGACAGCCAGGGGTCTATTGGTAATCCCCCTTATGTATGGTGGGAGGCAGTTGAACAGTCTCGGGCCCCCTGACACTTATTGTATTGTCTCTTAATGTGCTAGTGACACCCCTGCTTTTCATTGGGGGGATGTTGCATCGTCTTCCGAGTCTTTTGCTTTTGTTGTGAGTGATTTTCGTGTGCAAGTTCAGTACTAGTCCCTCTAGGATTTTCCAGGTGTATATAATCATGTACTCCCTGCATTCCAGGGAGTACAGGTTCAACAACTTAAAAGCGCTCCCAGTAAGTGAGGTGTTTTATCTGTTATGCGCACCGTGAAGGTTCTCTGTACATTTTCTAGGTCAGCAATTTCACCTGCCTTGAAAGGTGCTGTTAGTGTGCAGCAATATTCCAGCCTATTTATTTATTTATTTATTTATTTATTTATTTATTTATTAATTTGAACATGATACAGAGAAGTACAAAGGAATACAGTTATTAAAGTGCAACATGCCAAAGCCCCTTGTATGCAGAGCATTATGGGCAGGCTTAAAATTAACTTAAGATTAACTAAGCAGTGATATATTCAGTGGTAAAAACATTATTGTAAACAGATAACAATTTAGCACAAATGAGTATTACAAAGACAGGTCATATGGTCATTTACTGTGTTGCTGAGCATTCAGTAGAATGGAGTATTCTGTTAGGTAATGTATTTAAAAAAAACAAAGTTTGATTGTGTCACAGGTTAGACATTTATGAGATACAATAATGAGAAACATTTATGAGATATGATTTATGAGATACAGTTATTCAGCACAGTGGACCCCCGAGTTTCGGCAGCCTTGACTTTCGCGAAATTCGACCTTCGGTGAGTTTTTTTTTTTTTTTTTTTTTTTTTAAATTTGGCCTCGAATTTCATGAAAAAACTTGTATTTCGGCAACCGTCCGGTACCCATTCGCCTGTCACCGCGCACACAAAGCCAGTGTCCCACGCCATTCAAGCTCAGTGTGCCATTGTTTACCAACACATGACCATCACCCCGCAGGTTCATACAATACTTTTCATAATAATCCATTGTTTTTTGTGCTTGCAACTGCTAAATAAGTCATCATGGACCCAAGGAAAGCTAGTGCAAGCCCTTTGGTAAATAAAGTGAGTGACAGGGATGTGGAAGAGTTGGTGGATGACCACAGAGAAGAGCTAACCACTGACGAACTGCAAGAGCTTCAACTGGAACAGCATCAGACCACAGCCGAGGAACTTGCTTCAGAGGAGGAGGAAGAGGGAGTGGATGAGGTGCCTTCTTCAGTGATTAAGGACATGTGTGGAATGTGGAATGAGTTGCAAAGTTTTGTTGAAAAGTATCACCCTGACCAAGCTGAAACAAGCCGTATCTGCAACATGCACAATGACAGTGTTGTGTCCCACTTCAAGGAAATCTTCAAGAAACGCCAGAAAAAGACCTCTCTGGATAGATACAGATTCCCATATGCTGCATAAGTGTCTCTATCTTCAACTTGTCGGTTTTTCAAACCATTCATCACAACTGTCAGACACTGCAGCAACATGGGATCTTGTTACAAAGATTTCTTCAACACTTGTTCAACCTTTGGACGAAGACCTAACTTCGACTAGTGGATGGTACCACTATGACCCCGCCTCCGCCTGCTTCACCTCACCTCACTACAGTATATAAGCCACGTCTACGGCCCTATGCTGTACATTCTACAAGATTGATGGACTGAACACATCGACTCCAGGTTGAGGGACTGATTACCTCATTCTCCTCCTCTCCTTATGCCTTCTTTGTATTGGACTGATGAAGCCACTGTGTGGCGAAACGTTTCCTGAATAAAGATTCCCATATGCTGCATAAGTGTCTCTGTCTTCAGCTTCACCATTACTGTCTCCCAGGACAGCACCTCCAGCTTCACCATTACTGTCTCCCAGGACAGCACCTCCAGCTTCACCATTACTGTCTCCCAGGACAGCACCTCCAGCTTCACCATTACTGTTTCTCAGGACAGCACCTCCAGCTTCACCATTACTGTCTCCCGGGACAGCACCTCCAGCTTCACCATTACTGTCTCCCAGGACAGCACCTCCAGCTTCACCATTACTGTCTCCCAGGCCAGCACCTCCAGCTTCACCATTACTGTCTCCCAGGACAGCACTATCAGCCCCACATTTACTGACTACCAGGACATCACCTCCAGCCTTACAGTTTCTGACTACATGGCCAGTATCAAGGGCAGTACCATTCAGCCTAGACTTTTTATGTTCCCATCTGTTGTAGAAAGCTTCCAGGTTGTCTATGAAAGCAGCTTTGATGTTATCCTCTTTTAATACCCTTGTGATATTAGTCCACAGATTTATCTCATTTGGGCATACCCAAAAACACTTCCCTGTTTTAATACTGCTTGTAGCTAGTTCTTGGATATCTGCACAAGGGGCGTGACACCAATTTCCACAAAAATGACAATTTATCCATGTGGAAGCCCATTTGTTTGATTGACTGCACACTACACAGAGCTTCATAATGATTTGAATGGTTGATTTACTGTAATTCTACTAGCAACCTCTTGAATACTCTATTAATAACCTCCTTAAATGAAGCTCTAGCTATTTGTATTTCTATTTCTAACTGTACTTGTATATTGGACAGCTTACCGTGTACGTTCCTGATTTATATTTATTGTTTGTGTTTGATAAGGGCGCCTACAACCCCATCCGTTTACAGTCTGCTTTATTGTCCAACGAATCCGTTTGAAACCAGTCAAGGGTTCGGACCATCAAGGGTTCGGACCAGTTGAGGGTTCAGACCAGTCGAGGGTTTGGAACCAGTCTGATCTGATCAGTGGGTCACTTATTTAAAACATACTGGTCAGTGATTTGGGCTAACACATGAAGGATCTACTTGAAATTATCTGCCCAAGTAATATGTGATTTGATTGTTACAAAAGTATAACTTGCGTGTTGAAGAACCGGTGATTGCTGGCAGCTCCTACAATGATGAACGGTCGAGCCTCAACCCTTGTTTATCAGTCGCTGTACCTAGCTTTTCTAGGTTTTTTCGTCTCCACCACAATAAATGCTATATTATCACTATAGTTGACTGGTGGAAATTTTGGAGGAAGGACACTTTTTCTGTAGTAATAATTGCTTCTCGTTGTGTATATTGCGACCGCTGGTAACTACAGGTTATATGAGATTCATAGTATACGTCTGGTATTTCAAGAAAAAAGAAACTAATGAAAGTCACTCCACTCCACTAAGTACCATTATAATACTGGTTAGTTGCTACTACAACACTGTATTCTGCTATTCACTGGTATCACTAGATTAAGTGCCTTTGATTGTTCTGCTGTGTAGTAATTACAGTTACTGTTTGATTCATTTAAGTCATTCAATAAGAGGTTGGTATCAGGATCAATGCTTGTTATCATAAGATTTATAGTGAATCTATAGTTAGAATTAAGTATAAGACAAAGTAAATATTTTAAAGCTATAAAATAGCACCTGAGTTATTTTAACAAATATAAAAATTTGAGCTAAGGTAGTTCTTTAAAGCTAAAATAAAGGAGACAATATAAAAGGGACTAAAAAAAAATTTATGGTGAACAAATAAAGTGGTAATCAAATAAATGAGCTAGGGAATATAATGGCAAAATAGTGAACTTATTACACTTTAGCACCTGAGAATAGCACCTT